AATATGATGACCTCTTTTCCTTTGGGTAGATGCCAAGGATGGCATCTACCTTTGGGATGAGCTTTGGGATGAGCTTAGTCTACTGGAAAAATAGAAGTTAGTCAGGTGGGGATGGCAAGTAGAAGAAATGTTGGGCAAAGGAGACTATGAACGCAGTAAGAAACAGCATGATATGTGCAGGCACCAGAGGGTAAAGTGTGAGACCAAAGGTGGTAGAAAGTGAGGTGTGAGAGGAAAGCAGGGATGGGGAAGATAAGATGTGATTTTGTAAGGAAGAGGCTTTCAGCCTGGGAGTCCTAACTCACTGGGGTGCAGCCAAACAATGTGTTACTAATAATAAAGTGTTAGGTTTGTAATGGCTTTATTCCTTTAGAAACCTAAATTTGAGCAGATTCAAGGTTATCCCTAGAATATGGTGACTCTCCCCCACTGGCATTCCATATGCTTTCTTGAGAGAGAGAAAGGGATGGAGCGAGGGCTGGAAGCCAGGGCTTGAGCATAATTCTCTGTTCACCTTATCCAAGCAGCAAGCTGGTGGCTACAGTATTAACAAACTGCTGCTGTGCTTTACTTCCTTACTAGGGCTTTCAGGTTTCATGAAATCTAAGTATACCCAGAGGACAGTACACCTCTGTGCATGTACATCGCCCGTCTTGATGGTCACAGAGGATGGCAGCTGCATAAAATGGGGAGCCATGGAAGTGTTTCCATGCTGTGGGCCGTGTGCATTTTGTGGTGGCTCCTCTGGCTCCAGCGATCGAACATCCTGTGGGTATGGAAATCTCCGCTACACACTCACAGTGTACTTACATTTCAAATCAATTATATGTTTATTGCTCCACTAATATATTATATCCATTTAAAAACATAGTCCAAAATATAAACAGTAAAAGGATAAAATAGAAAAGGGATTAAAGCATTTAAAATAATTTTTATTTATTTATAATAGACAAACCTAATGATTGAATACACCTAATTATTTTGTTTAAGTTTTGGTTTAATTCTTGTGATACTGTGATTTGCAGGTCTTGTTCTCAGTGTATTTCAGTTCTTGCTTGTAGTGGCTGATGTAGCTGGAAAAGGCTTCATAAAGATATGGAGCTCCAAATGGAAGCGCACTTACTAATCATGAGACTCTGTGCTCAATTCTATTAGTAATGACGCACATGTCTTTGATGAAATTCAAGTTAGTAAATATGTTTTTTCCCTGATATCAATCAGTTGTTCTTGCAGGCTAACTGGAAGAGATATGTACTTTTCGTCGTGTTAACAAATAGTTTCCGTTATCTGCTGAACCTCTTTTCTAAAAAACGTAAAATAGTTTAGTAAAGTCTGTATGCCAAGCTTCTAAAGTGTTCTGATACCCATGTGTGTACACATGACCCCCTTATGTTATTTTTGGCAATAAAATCACATGATATGGAAACATTTTTAAATGTCTATTTTTAAAGTTCTCTTAGATAGGGGTTTCTTTTGAGAAGTAGCTATTTTTTCATTCATTGTTAAAATGTTATCTTTACCTTGAAGAAACTGAGTAAGTGTATTTATTTTTTAAAAAAAACTGCAAGATAGCATACTGATAGGATTCATCAAAGAAAAGGGCAGCATATGTGGAAGAAAAAATATGCCTCTTACTTAAATTTGGCAATTTGAAAATTGGCCTGATCGGATTTTGGAACAAGTGAGAAAAGGGAGTCCAGGATAAATTCCTAGCTTTCTAGCTTGGACAACTGCTTGAATGGTGGTATCACCAAATGGAGTAGAGAGAGGAAGAAGACAGGAGCCAGTTTAGGAAGACGATGAAAAAACAAGCTGAATTGGTAGTTGATGAGTTTGAGTGCCCACAGGACTTCCTGCTGTTACTCCATGCCTGACATACTGAAAATCAAACTCATCCTTGGTTTTATATCCTGAATTTACATTTTGTCTCTGTTCTCCTATCTCTGTCCATGGCACCACCCTCTCTAGGTACTTAAGGGTAAACACGTTGGAGCCATATATTAAAACGTGAAAGGTTCCCTTGTCTCCCTTGCAGGGCGTGCAATTCGGGTGTGGCTCGCTTCTTCAGTGCCCTGCTGCTCAGACCTCTAGGGGAGCATACAGACGGGCAGGCTGTGGGGCTCCAACCCCATGGCAGTGTCTAGGGGTAAATGTTTACAGCTCCTCAAGCCCCAGTGGGCGTGTGTTAAAGGGTGCTCTCTTAGTTTGTCATCTATAGGTGGTTTGTATTAACCAGCTCAATGAACCTTGTTGCAAGAACAGAGGGATTTCTGTATCCCAGGGTTTCTTGCCTTGATGTACCGGAAGAATCAGATCACACATGGGTTTGGAGTTTTATTGCGTGGAAGTAGCTCTTCGCCGATGGATGAGCCAGAAGGGAGATAGTTTCCCCTGGAGTTGGGCCGCTGGGTGCCCTTGCTCTCCTCAGAGTGCCCCGGCCAAACTCCGCCTCGACCCGCAAGTCGATGGCCTGTGAAGTCTGTCGGTGTACTCTTCTGCCAGCATGCTCCCCTCAACATCCTTTCACCATCCAGCCGCTTGTGTCTGCTTCCACTGACCTGTTCCTCTCCATGTCCAGCCACTTTTCTCTGCCTTGCTAGGGTGTCAGGTTTCTATAGGCCCAGGATGGGGGTGTGGTGGGCCAGGGTGATCTTGGGAAATGTAACATTTGGACACATAGGCAGAAGTGCCTGTCCTCACCTAGGTCTGTGGGGGTGAAGTCCTAGCCAGGGACCCGCCCTCCTCTACCCAGCACTTCCCTGTCCCTCTTCCATATTGTTTAAAGGGACCACGCTCTTCCCTTCCCAGCACTCCTGATTCATCCTTCTGTTTCCTTCTCTATCCAGTGAATAACTGAGGACTTTCCACTTTTATTTGTTCCTTCTACATATATTTATTGAGCACCTCCTGTGTGCCAGGTACTCATCTAGGCCCTGAGGATGTAAGTGGGCAGAAGACAGAGTGCTGGTTGTTATGGAGCTTATATTCCAGGTGGAGAAAATAGATGATAAATAAATATGTAAACATATAAACAAGAAACTCATGGGAGTTTGTTAAGTGCTCAGTACAGAATTGAAGCAAAGACATATAATGCTGCCTGGGTGGCTGCCATAGACGGGGTGGGCACAGAAAAGCTTTTGGAGGTGGTGCCATTGAATGTGAGCTCTGAGTCCATGTACTATCAGGGGAGAGATCTTTTCAAGCAGAAGGGCCCAAGCTCTCCATGAGCACAGAGAGTTGTAGGAACAGAGGGAAAGCCAGGATGGCCAAGGCTTGGTGGTGGGGAAGTGACCCTAAAGTCATGGCTTTTCTTTAATCGCTGCTACTCTGTTTCCATGCTCACCACTTCATGCCTGGCCTGTTTAAAATGTCCGTTAATTTCTCCCCACCTTAACTCTCTCCTTGAAATTATTTTGCATATGAGTACCTGGTTTGCCTTCACTATGCCACGATAAAAAGCCATCAGTAGCTGGAAGCTGTGGGTTGGCCCTTGGGGGGTCAGGAACACACATACACGGCTCTTCAACTGGGGCTCCTGTGAGGTTTCCAAGAGGCTTTGGGAGGAAATGAAGTCTCTTGTTACCCTCTCATGTTTACCCACCCTACATACTGGTTTTCAATTACTCCTGTAACAAATGACTACAAACTTCGTGGCTTAAAACAGCATGGATTTATTCCCTTACGGTTCTGGGGACACATGTCTGAAATGGGCCTTATTAGGCTTAGAAACAATGTCCTCAGGGCTGTGCTTCTTTCAGTAGGCTCTGTGGGAGGATCTGGTTCCTTACCTTTCCCAGCTCTAGAGGCTGCCTGCATTTCTTAGCCGTGGCCCCTTCCCGCATCTTTACAGCCAGCAGGGCAGCCTCTTCCAATCTCTCTCTGACTCTGACCCGCACTCTCTTGCTTCCCACTTTCACTTATAAGGACACTTGTGATCACATTGGGGCATCTGGATACTCCAGGACAGGAAAATCTCCCTGTCTCAAGGTTAACCACTGATTAGTAACAATATACTTCATACATATGAACAGAAATGTACATACATACACATTTCTATGTTATATTACCATATAAATATCATAGCTCATGTGCAAATAGAATGTATTCACAGGTTCTGAGGATTGGGATGTGGGCATCTATAGGGGTTCATTATTCTACCTAGCACACTCTGCTTCTTTGATGTATTGGGTTTTATCAGATATTTGTGGCTCATGGGGACTTCCTTCAAAAGGAAAGGTCACTACTAAGACTAAGAGGAGGCCTATCATGGAATCTCAGTAGGAGATTGCTTTAACTTTGTGAACATGGTAAAGCTCTGCCCATCAATGAGGCAGGATTGCTTGCTTTTCCTGCAAGGGCAGCTGAATGCGGGATGGTGGGAATAGCAGTAGCTATTCCCTTGTATATTCTCTCCAAGGCTATTGGCTATTCTATGCTTTGGGTAGAACTCAAACAGCAGAGAATATTTCTTTATCTCATTTATTTTCTATCCTGATGGAGAGTTGGATGAGTTGGCCTTTAAGGTCCCCCCGAGTCTTGAGAATATATTATCTTCCTGTCTGAAGAGATGGCCTCCAAGACAAAATGTGTGGCTGAATAGTGGGAATAGAGGGAATCACATTAGATAACATAAGTGCTAACCTCTTGAAAGAGATTATTACATTTAATTAGTAGACATACTCTGTCTGCTCCACACTTGAGAATTTATAGGAAAAGAGATACCAGAATGCTCTTTAGTGAGACATTCTTTTGTTGTCTTCAACCTCTAAGTGATGTCTACATGCCAGAAAAGCAATTCTTTGGCAGGAAATGCAAGTAAAATCCCATTATATTGATCTCCATTGGACAATGACCATATATACTGAATTTCTGGAATAGTTCTCATTTCGTGTACTTTATTCTTTTCAATAAGGAATTAATTAAATGTATAACTAAATGTAATTTAATTTTATATCTTGGTAAGACATTTCGTACAAATACTTTCACAAATCAAGAAAAGATTTTATGTCTTAATCCATCTTAATTTTTATTTTGGGCAAATGCAATTGAACATCTATTTTCCTGGTGGTGAAATTTTTTGCCTGGATAATTATACTGCTACAAAACATCCCTCATCTGTAGAGCTAAAGACAAACAAAACTTATTTCCAGTCTCTCTGTATAAGCAGCAGATTTGAACCTGGCAATAAATTTACTTTGAAAAAAGTAAAAGAAATGAAAAAAAAAAAAAAAAGAAATGCTAAGGATAATTACATCCAATATATACCAAACACTCAACATAATGTAGGCACTGTGGTAAGTACTTTAGATATATAGCTTTGTTTCAGTTTTAAAAATGAAAGCTCTGTGAAGTAAATATGTTCTCCCTGCCCTTATTGTAGAGGTGGAGGCTGATATGGCACTTGGAGCAATGTTGTCCTAACAATGTACAGAGTTAGAAAGGAGAGAATTGATATTTGGGTTAATTCACTGCATCAACCCCAAGCCTTTCTTCCTCTAAGCATCCTAGGGATAGATAGGTAGGTTTTGAGGGAGGAGGTACGGTTGGGGTGACTGAAGTGAAATTACAGTGATGGTCTATAAGAATTAGGGCCCTTGGACTACAGAGAGAACCAAGAGTTCCTCAGCAGATCAGGTTCCAAGAACCTTGATGTCTGGGGCTGCAGAGTTCTTGCTTTGACGTCTTCTGTGATAAAGGCCTGGTCAGTCATTCCAATCTGCCCTATTCCAGAAAATGGCTCACCATCCATGCAGCCACTGAAACCTAAGCTAAGAGTCATCTGAAATTCTTCTTTTTTTTCCTCCTCAAATCCTATGCATCAGCAAGTTCTGGGCTGTCCTACTACAAAATACATCTAGAATCTGGTTCTTCAGTTGTCTTAGTTTGTGTGACTACAACAAAAGACTACAGTTTGAGCAACTTACAAACAACAGACGTTTATTTCTCATGGTTCTGGAGGCTGGAAGTCCTGCATCAAGGTGCCAGTAGATTTGGTTAGGGCCCATTTTCTGATTCATGGATGGCACGTTCTCGCTGCTTCCTCACCTGGTGGAATGGGCAAATGAGCTGCCTCAGGCTCTTTTATAACAGCACTAATCCCATTTATGAGAGCTCCCCACTCATGACCTAATCACCTCCTAAAGGCCTCACCTCTTAATATGATCACATTGGGGATTGGATTTCAATGTATGAATTTTGGGGGCCACAAACATTTGGACTGTAGCATCTGTCCATCCTAATGACTGCCACCCTCCCAAAGGTTCATCTGCTCTCTCTCCTGAACTACCACAACAGTTTCCTAAACAGCCTCCCTGCTTCCACACTATCCCACCCCAAAGTCATCTTTTAAATACATAAGTCAGATCAAGCTCTCCTCTGCTTGATCTTTATCGACATGTTCCTTGTGCCCTTAGAATAAAATCCCAGCCTCCTAGCATGGTGCACAGGCCCCGAGTGAACTGGATCCTGTCCATGTCTCTAAACTCATATTATATCCTCTAGGTTCTTTTCCACCTCAGGGCCCCCATCCCCTCTGCTGAAATCACCTTCTTCCTTAGGTATTTAACATTAGCTCTTCAAGAGGGCTCAGATAAGCATGCCTCCACGTGCATCCCTGTAATACTCTGTCACATAACCCCTTCCATTTTTTATGTGGCAGTTATTGCAATCTGTTATTATTTTGTTTGTAAGTTGGTTTATTCTTTTGTTTACCTCTCGCACTAGAGGGCTGGACTTCATCTGTCTGAATCCTCAGCACCTAGCACAGTGCATGACAAATTAGGTGTTCATTGATTATTTGTAAAATAAATGATAGAATGCATCATCATGATTTTTTAAAGTATTATTATGTTCTTAAGGACAGGTGCGTATATTGGATGCACTTTGGTATGTCTGTCCAGCTTGTAATAACACTCTTAATTGGGCTCCCAGAGTCAGAGGAAATGGCCCCTAGGAACATTTAGGTGCTTGTGCCCCTGACCTCTAGCTCCAGTGGATTGGCAGCTGATCCAGACGGAGTCAACTGAAATTGCAACTCCGGTAATTTGGATTTGGGACTGGAGAGAAGTATGGTTGGACTATGTGTCCTCAGGAGACCTGGGGCAGTCATGAACTCTGCTTTATGGGCTGGGACCAGAGAAGGCTAGTGAGCAGAGAAAGAGAGGAGACCGAGCAGATGTGCAAAGAGAAAGTGTGACGTGAGACCCAGGGAGACAGTGGGGATGGATTTCCAGTATCTTCTTGCTGCTCATCTGACCTCCTAGCCTTGGGTTGAGGAAAATGTCAGCTCCTTGCCCTCCAAATGCCATTCCGGGGTAAAGCCAGTGTGTTAAGGACACCTCAGTCCATTTGACACTTTGTGAAAACAAATTCACCATTTCCATGTTGGTTCTGCTTCAGCACACACTGCTCCGTGCCACCTTCACCTCATGCGATGATAGATGGCTTGCTCCTGAGCTAGAAACTGTGTAAGCGACAAGGTTTCTAGAAAAAGAAAATGGGGAAAAAAGTGAGGGGCGAACATCTTTGTGGCATCCCCTGTAAGGAGAGAGGACTGTGAGCTATGAAAAAAACAGGTGCAGTAAGCCGGGGAGCTGGGAATGGGAGACTCAGAGAATATAAAATGTCTGGTTACAAGATATGAGTTTCGAAGCAGCAGAGTGAATCTCCTCAGGTGATGGATCATTATGCTGAAATCAATCTTCACAATGGAAGACAATGTTCGTGAAAATGAAATATTCCCTCTGAACCAGGGGTCTAAAGTATAGTAGGCCACTCCACGGTAGTGACAATCAATATCAACTCAGTTGAAGACCATACAATCTTCTTTTAGCCTGACCTCATTAAACCTGATACTAATGAGCGACTAAAGCCAATGGCCATGCATGGGAGTTTAATATTGCTACAATCACAGCGATTCAAAAGTCCTTTATCAGCAAAGGTATGGCGAAAAATATGTTGGCTTCTCAGCAATGCAACCAGCTGTAAAGTATCTCTCAACGAGTCCACCAAGGTGTGAACATCAAAAGCCCAGCAGGAGCTATTTATATTTGAAGATTATTAGGCATTAGCTGCACAGGGGAATTGCCTCAGAAAATGCTGCGCCTGACTAGATACTTCCATGGTAAAACCCAGAAACCACTGAGCTCTCCAGAATAATTTTCATTCTTACAGGAACGTGCACCTCTGCTTGAAGTGTTGTCTCTCCTGCCATGTGTACCTGGACATGCTGGGGAGAGAAAGTGGACTTCAAGGACGTGGGGGAGTTGAATATCAGTTAGTTTTGTATACATCAACAGACCACCTTCTACTTCCACAACAAGGACTTTTAAAACGTGAAGTGAGGCTGGTATGTACAGTTTATGTGTGCTTATGAAGACATGCACCAGCATAGCCTGGAGAAGCGTGGCCCCAGGAAGAGCTAGGCATCTGTCCTGGCATCCTGGCCCTGCTGGAATAATAGCCCCAAGTTTTGGCTGGGGCGAGTCTCTTTGCCAAAAGAGAGGTTTTAAGGCCTAGAGCAGTGTTTCCCAAACTGAACTTGACTGGGTGTTAGTATGTGTAAGGAGATAAAAGGATTACATGGGCAATGTCTGTGAGATACTGAGCTAAATAAGTTAAATTAAAAATTAAAATGAATGCATGTAATATTAATGCATACAAAAAATTTATACACACACACACACACACACACACCCACTATAAAGAACAATAAAAACCCAGCTTAACAAATACACTGCCAATCCCGGAGAGTCCCCTGGTTGCCCCTTTCTGATTGTAGCCTCCTCCTTTCCCCAGAGTAATCAGTATTCTGAATTTTGTGTTTGAGTTTTGTTTTTCATAATGGTTCTACTATAGGTATATAAATATATATATCCTTAAATGATATCTTTTAAATTTATATATGCTTTTGGGCTGGGCCTGGTGCCTCACACCTGTAATCGCAGCAAGGTGGGAGGATTGCTTGAGGCCAGGAGTTCAAGACCAGCCTGAGCAACTTAGTGAGACCATATGTCTATAAAAAATTTTTGAAAAAATATTAGCCAGGCATGGTGGCACATGCCTGTAGTCCCAGCTACTCAGGAGGCTGAGGAAGGAAGATCAGTTGAGCCCAGGAGGTCAAGGCTGCATTGCGCCAAGATGGTACCACTGTACTCTAGCCTGGGTGACAGAGCAAACCTTGTCTAAAAAAATTTTTTTTTAAAAAGCTTTTGAATTAGCTTTATATGAAATCATGCAGTGGATATTCTTCTGAGACTTGTCCTTTATTCCATTCTGTGTTTCTGGACTTTATATGTGTTGATACACATAGCTGTGGTTCATTTTCTTTGCTGTTATTTATTTTGTTTATGAACAATTCATTTGCCATTTTCTTGTCTCATTAATATTAGTTTGGCTTTGGTGTTTTACCATCACAAACAATGGTGTTAGAAACTTCCTGGTACACGTTTTTTAGAGCACATGTGCAAGAATTTCTCTAGGTATATATCAGTGGGTGTGAGGGTAGGTACATCTTCACCTTTATAGGATTAACCAAATTGTGATCCAAAGTGACAATTCTAATTTTCATTCAGTCTAACAGGCTTTAAATGTCATTGCCCTGTATCCCCACCAACACCTGGTATTGTCAGACTTGAATTTTTTGCCATCTCATTGTGATTTTGGTTCTCATCTCCTTTATTACTAGTGAATTTGAGCATCTTTTCATATATTTGTTGGTTGTTTAAGCTTCCTCTTCCATAAATGCTACTATCCATGTTCTTGCCCAATTTCTAACTGGGTTATCTTTTCCTTATTGACTTTTAGGAGTTCTTTATGCTTTCTTCATTGTAATTCTTAAGTTACGTATTGCAAAATTTCTTCTCTCAATTTGTGATTCATGTTTTCATTACTTAATGATGTTCTCTCATGAAGAGAAGTTTTACATTTTAATATAGATGAATGTATCAATCTTTTATGTTATGGTTGTGCTTTTGGGGTCCAATTTAAGAAAGTTTCCCGCTCTCTTTTCCTTCTGCTCTGGCCATGTAAGACGTGTGTGCTTCCCCTTCACCTTCTGTCATGATTCCAAATTTCCTGACATCTCCCTGGAAGCAGAAGCTGCTATGCTTCCTGTACAACCTATGGAACCACGAGCCAATTAAATCTCTTTTCTTTATTAAAAAAAAAAAAAAAAAAAAAAAGAAAGTTTCCCTACAAGAGATTAAAGATATTGTCCTAAATGTTTTATAATCTTGCTTTTCCCACTAAGTCTCTAATCTCTGTTTTTGTGAATAGATTTCTTTACAAACTCAGGACTTCCCTCAGTTGCCAGTATGCATTGTGGACCCCGGCCCCTTGAAGGAAGACAGAGTACAGCACTTTTCTGTTGTATTTGGCCTTGGATTTCTTTCTCAGAGGCATTTCTAGGGATATCTTAGAACATACTCTAGGAACTACTGTTCTGTAGAGTAGAAAAAAATTAAAACTCACTTTCTACCTACATTCTTGACTGATTCTGGGATCCTGAATCAATTGCTGGGTCAATTCCTTGCTATTTGTTTTACTTATTTTGAAAATAAAGACCTTATTACCTAAACTAAAAACTAAAAGACAATATAATTATTAATATGCATAGAGAACAACAGCTAGGGTGAAAATATTAATGTGCAAAAAGGATTAAAATTATGTGTGTGTGTATGTGTGTGTGTTTTGTTTTTTTTTCAGACAGGTCTCACTCTGTTGCCCAGGCTAGAGTGCAATGGGATGATCTCAGCTCACTGCAACCTCTGCCTCCTGGGCTTAATCGATTCTTGTGCCTCAGCCTCCCACGTAGCTGGGATTACAGGCATGTGCTGCCATGCCCGGCTAATTTTTCTATTTTGGGTAGAGATGGGGTTTCACTATGTTGGCCAGGCTGGTCTCAAACCCTTGACCTCAGGTGATCTGCCTGCTCAGCCTCCCAAAGTGAAAAATATGAATGTACGCGTATTCTCCGTCTCTTCATTCCACACCACTTGCTTGGGGATAGGAGTGTTGCATGGAAGATTCTTGCCTGCTGGATTCCCCCCTAGGCTTTTCTGGTGGAGAATCTGGAGCATAGCTGTATGGAAGGCAGGCAGAAAGCCAAAATGATATATGCAATAAAGAGCTTGAGGAGAAGAGGTGGTACCCAGGGGATGGGGGAGAAGACAGTATAGACAAGGTTTGAGTCCTGAGTGTTGGAGAGGGGTTGGGTGGAGAGTTGAGAGGGAGGAGTTGATAAAGAAAGAGACTCCAAAACAACCATATGTGAGAATGTGCGCGTGTGAGAGAACTTGACAGGTACAGTAAGGGGGACTATCAGAAATGTGCTGTGAATTGGCCAAGCGCGGTGGCTCACACCTGTAATCCCAGCACTTTGGGAGGCTGAGGCAGGCAGATCACCTGAGGTCAGGAGTTCAATAGCAGCCTGGCCAACATGGTGAGACCCTATCTCTACTAAAAATACAAAAATTAGCTGGGCATGGTGGTGGGCACCTATAATCCCAGCTACTTGGGAGGCTGAGGCTGGAGAATTGCTTGAACCCAGGACGTAGAGGTTGCAGTGAGCTGAAGGTCACGCCATTGCACTCCAGCCTGGGTGACAAGAGCGAAACTCAGTCTCAAAAAAAAAAAAAAGAAAGAAAAAAAGAAAAAAAAGTGCTGTGAATTATAAATTCGATCTCTTTTAGTACTCTTTAAAGATGCAAATAAATTTCAGTTGCTGGGTTTCTTTTTGTTGTGTTTCTTTTAGTGCAACAAAACAGGATGACTAACCAGTTAGGGTCCCAGATTTTATAATAGTCTTTTATACACACGACTTTAGCTCGTCATAATGATACTCCAGCGAGGTACGTAGGGGAAATGTTATTTGCCTCTATTTAATATCTGAAAATACTGACTTAGAAAAGTAAAATTACTGACTAAAGACAGTGTGAGGGTGGTTAGGATTCAAATCCAGACTAATAAATGTAGTATCTGTTTTCTTTCCACTGCACCATGCAGCCTGCAGGGAAGACTCACATATGAATGCTCTTTGCAAAAACATTCACACAAAAATCAACCAACTCCAAATGAAATGGCAACTTTAAATTATTTGGACCTAATAATCACAATTTCTTAAGAAATGCTATTCAAAGATTCCTAGGGAAAAAAAAAAACCCTATCAGATATAATTTAGTGAGATAATTTTGTTTAACTCAGCACTTCTCAGTTTAGCTTACATAATACTGATCATACTTTTTAAGTGTAGGGGACATTTCCATAGATAAGAAGAGTAACTTATTCACAGGTTCATAGGCATATAGTTCAACCTTTTCTCTATATTCCTAAGAAATTGATGACATCATGGCCGTGGAAGAGGCAACTTGAAATCTGTATTCAAAAAAAAAAAAAAATTAAAAAGTTAACTGTTCCTAACAGGTCAATGAAACAGGACCAGAAGTCTTCATTTTTTGAGAAAGGTACTTATTATTGTGGCTGACAGTGGGTCTCATTTTTCCATTTCACAAAATATATATGTACGCTAATGTGAACTCCCATTTCCATCTTAAAACTGGAAATGAACGTAACTTTATTTCCTGGTATCACAGGGCACTGACAAAATATTTCAAGAGTAGGAAATATTTGAAGTGATGATTATTGTTTTAGTAGCATAAGGTCTCTTCTACTTCTAACAATTGATTTTCATCACTTCCAGCTGAAGTTATCGCTTTGCCCCCATCCCCCTGCTTTTTTTTTTTTTTTTTTTTTTTATTGCTGCAGGGGTTTTTTTGTCTTCAATAATGTGCTGGGGAGTCCATTTCTTATAGTAGCACCATCTCGGCTGTAGTGTGTTATTCTGCAAGCCCAGAGGGGTTCTTAAACTGAAACTTCCTTCTTGATAGCATTGCTGTCATGAGTTCTGTCATTTCCTCTAATGAAGGGAGTAAACCTGTGAGCATGCACACCAATGAAAAACATATAAAGTCAGATCTCTGGTCCCAATATAATAGCAACAAAGATGATTAATTGTTTGTTTTAATGCAGTAACTGGTATTTAATAAGTTATTGATTTTTCTTAGCATCTTACTAAAATGCTTTGGAATGTGAACAAATCCTCAACTCATATAAGGCAGTATATTGATTAGGTATGAATTCATACATTGGGATTCTAGGTGCTCTGTTATCTCAGGGCCAGTGCATATTAACTGATTAGTATTGATTGCACTGTGGCCGTCAGTGAATTCTCAAGGCATCGTTTTTAGTTAAGGAAGAATGTTTGGTGTGACCCTGAAATCGCTTTGCAGCAGATCCAGAGAAAGTTAGGTTGTTGATGATTCAGAGCAAGGGGCCATGGCTTTAACTCATTGAACTGGATTTAATTTGTACCCATGGTTTCAATATTATTGTTATGCTCAGGAGATCTTGCTATTCTTTTACTTTGGTTTTCTTATACACTTTTCTCTGCCTGGTATAATTTTTCTCCTATTTTCTGCTTTGCAAACTCCTACTCACGTGCCAGGACCCAACTCAAAATTCATTACCTCTGTGCCCTTGTTCCTGATTCCCTTGGAAGATTTTGTCTCCTGGGTCTTCTCATCATCCTCAGTTGTAATAACACTTCAGTATAGAGTGATAAATGCCAGTAATTCAGTAATTATGTCTTTATATCTTCTCCCTACTAAACCTTTTGTATTCTTTTGGACAGGGCTGTAGATCATCTCTTACCATTGCTTGTTCCTATTGGAGTCCGCTATCCAAGAAGAAGGTTCACAGCTAGCCATGTGTAAATTCTTGCTGCTGTTACACATTTGGTGGATATTTCTTTTCAACACTCAGATTCTGAAACTTCTGGTCCCATAGGATGTAAATGGGTTTTCAAATCCTATGCGACCAGAAGTTTCAGAATCCGAGAAATACGGGCACTAAGCGCTTTGTGACTTATCCACCACCACGATTTCTGTGGCTTGTGTGGGTCACACTCTGCTAAACACTTGAAATACAAAATCTCATTAATTTCTCACCATGGAGCAAGATCATTGTTATGTTCTCCATTTTACAGAGAAACAAAGTGAGACAATAAATAATTTTTTCAAGGTGACATCACTAGTAAATGGTGTGTCAGGGAGTCAAACCCTGGTCTGTCTGACTCCAAAGCTGTATCTACACAATGTACATGAGACACTCTGGAAAAGGCCCACCCAAACAAGGAACCTGAAATTTCACCTGAAGAGATTAACTTTGAGGGGTCTTGAAGGCTTGAAGAAGAAGCAGGGATAAGAGGGTAGAAGTCATTAATGAAACACACCCAAATGAAATAGAGTATTCTAATACGCCAGAAATAGTTGGTGAACCCTCATACTTTAAGTTCTTTCCAACTAATTTCTTAACACAGAGGTGACAATTAGAAAAAAATCTTTCCTTTAGGAATCATTCATATGGGAAAGAGACACAGAGCAGAGAGCCAACAAGGTGCCACGAGAGAGTGGCGTAAAGAAAAGTTAAAAATTTTTTAAAAATAAAACAAAACCAAAATCAAAAAAGAAAAGTAGAAGACACTAAAGACCAATGATGGAGGTTGGTGGTAGGTGTGGACAGTGGGAGCAGATCATGCTGGAACGGATAATCAGAGGTGCACTGCCTGTGAGAATTTAAAAACAACAAAAGTCACTAAAAATCTGCTGTGGGACCCTTAACAACATCAGTGATAAAACACTCCTTCCCAAAAGGGTGGACCACTCCTGCCAAGCCCCACCTTGGTACACGCTGGTCCAACTCCAGGGTATGGTTCTCAGGATTGTACCTGCTCTCCATACCAGAGAGAACTGCAGAAGCATCTGAATTCTGTTGTTTTTGCTTTTATGAAGACTCTAACCAGCACTGAGGTAATGGACTACTTTGAGTAGATCAAAATGAGGTGGGGAAATGTGATCCCCAGCTAGTATACTGTAGTGATTTCCTCTTGGTACTGTAATAAACCATCACAAACTTAGTGGCTTAAAACAATGCAATGTATTCTCTTACAGTTCTAGAGATCAGAAGTCTGAAAGGGTCTCATAAGGCTGAAATCAAGGCATTGGCAGGATTACATATTTATGGAGGCTCTAAGACCAATTTCCTTACCTTTTCCTGCATTTAGAAGCTGCCTGCATTCCTTGGCTTGTGGCCCCTTCCTTCATCTTCAAAGCCAGTGGTATAGCATCTTCCAGTCTCTCTCTGACTCTGACCCTCACTCTCCTGCTCCCTCTCATACTTATCAGGACCCTTGTGATTCCATTGGGCCACCTGGTAATCTCCCTATTTCAAAACCCTTAACTCAATCATATGTGCAAAGTCGCTTTTGCCATGTGAGGTGCTGTATGTACAGGTTCTGGGGATTAAGATGTAGACATCTTTGGGATGCATTTTTCTACCTACAATAAGTGTGTTAGAGTGGAAATTAGAGATAAGGAGACTGAGTTCCAATTTCCATGCTGCCATTGAGGAGGAACGTGCCTTGAGGTAAATCTCAACTCCCAGGCCATTGTTTCCTCCTAGTCCCTATGTAGACCCTGTTAGGATATTCTCTTTGAGAAGTAATGCCTTTACCTAAACAGAGGGAGATATGGCTCCTGCTAATTAAAAGCCAGACCTGTTTTACACACTTACAAACAATACCCTAACATTTATTTAAGGCCACTTCTGAACCATGCCATTAGTCCTTCTAATGGTGTTTCTGCAGGTTCTCAGCTGATTTCTGCTTACCATCCTACATTTACTTACACCTTGCCTACAGAGCGTGTAAGTTTTCAATTTCTCATTTTAAATAGAGGGCTCCAATTCTATAGCGTGGCTGATGCATTAAATATCCACAGCCAAATTGCTTAACGCCCAGGTTTTTATCCCCTTCAAATTAAAGCTTTTAAAACACCCAGACTCCATGCTGGCTGAATGACACACACAGACTTTCTGCCGGCTCTGGGGGGCAGGCGATACTGGTTCCTGTCAAGTTCTAAATCTGGATGCTTTTTTATAGTGGAACAACTAAAAGGAATTGCTGCCTTATGATATATAACTACTACTTATTATAGATTGATCCATTTTGCAGCAGGGAGGTGGAAGGCAGGGAGCTGTAGGAAGAACAAGAACCAATCTTAGACCTGAGAGAAAGTAACCTTCTAATTGCCTTTTCCATGACAGCATCATAAGCTTCTCTCTGGCAGCTTTATTTCACAGTGACCTGCCACACTGCTGTAATTTTCCTGGTGTCACTCATACAGGTTTAAAAAATGATCGGTTTTATGGCTTCTATTTGGGAATTTGTCAAGGTTTCACATTTGTAGAAGCCTTGAAGCAGTGGCCTAATAGTCCATAATTTGGTGTTTAAAGGGATATTGGTGGGTAACCTGCTTGGGCCCACAGGTGCCTATAGTGATCACATCCTTATGCCTGGCGGGGAAATCTCCATAATTTATGTTATGCTCCTGTAAACCTTTGCTGTCAGAAAACTCCATTCCAGGTTCCAGAGGACTCCAAGCATCCTGAGGTGGGAGAAAAGCCTTTCAAGCTTTGTGATCAGGTTGATATTTAAAGCTAATTCCCGTGAAATGTAGTTCAGGTGTTCGTAAACCCAGACTTGGGTCAGCGTATTCCGGCGATAGGGATTTACGTACTCCTTTTATGACTCACAGTCTGGAAATGAAACTGCTGGACTCTGAGCGCTCTCTCTCTCTCTCTCTCGCTCGCTCGTTCTCTCTCTCTCTCTGTCCTACGATCTCAAAGCTCCCAACAGATGTTTTTAAAAGCCTCACTTTTGAGGACTGTTTTGGCCTCCTGCCCCTGTGTGTACTCTTAGATTTAATGAAAATTGGTGCCTCCGGAGCTCTGCTCCCAGTGGGGAGAGCAGCTCCTCTCGCGGTACGGTTGCTCGTTCTCGCAGCCAGAACACACTGGGCCAGGGCTGTTGTGTGTAAACACACACACACGCACACACACCTGCTTCATCGCGGCTCCCTTCTCTCTGAGTTGCCTGGGTTGGCCTCCGTTTGGAGCCTACCTGCTGGTGTTTATCACAGTCGGCGTTACCCCCATCCATGTGCCTCAGCAGAGCCGGTGCTTATTTGAGCAGCGGGCGATTTTTCTGAAGTGACCTCCGCCGAGCGGGAGATTTATGGTGGCGTTTGCTTTCATTATGTGTGGAGGCTGCCTCGTGAGCTCGCTGCGTGGCTGTCGGAGGAAGAGCAGAACGCTTCCCAGAATAAGCCTCCGGTATTATCTTTGAACATATGTTCTTGATTAAATGAGAAGAGGAAAGTCTCTTCGTTTTTTCCCATTTGGAGGTTAAAGTGGAGGGTTTGTCTAAAAACAGATTGCAGTAAATTGTGGGTTTATTTGAACAGTATGTCAACATTATTTACTCATGGAAAAAAAATATCAAATTGATAGGTTTCTTTTAATTACCTCATCCTGAAAGCTGCTCTCAAGAAACAGCAAATATTTCAGAAGCCATTTGGATAAGTCTGGAAATGTTGAATTATTGGAAACCTGCCGAGAATAATACCTTTGAAAATGTTTCCATAGTTCCGAGTATAAGAAAACTTGATTAGGAAACAGCTTGTCTCTGGGCAAACTGGGTATTGCCTTCTGTGATCTTGCTGGCCTCGTAAAAGATGGCTTGCAAGATTCTTGTGTAATACTGATCACACCACCCTGAGAAACAGGTACCTTTCTGGGGCTCGTTATTATTGTCTGTCACTCAGACCAGAGTGACCTTGTTGAACCCCACTACAATCATATCTTCCTCTTGAGTTCTGTCCAAGAAACACAAAAGTTAAATGAAAGAAGATTCAGTAATTGAGTGAGTTCTCAGCAAGTCCAAAGAGCTCTTCTAGCAAATCCAGGCCAAAACATATTTGACCAAAGAATGTTCTTTGACTTCATTGCTCGGTCTCAACTAGATGGAAGATGGGCTGCTGGGCAGAACCATTCCTAGAGCCCAAACCCGTTTGAGGATGGGGTAATTTTCCTGGTGTCACTCATGCAGGTTTAAAAAATCTCAAAGCTCCTAACACATGTTTAGGTGAGGGAGGTAGCTGAGAGAAAGACACTCATATGTAAGCCAAGGACCTTTATACACATATACCCTTAGGCTCATGTTCTTCTGTAATTTCCTTTTCAGAATTGTTTGTGATGTTTGCCTTGTGTATGCATGCATGTGTGTGTGTGTGTGTGTGTGTGTGTGTGTGTGTGTGTGTGTTGAAGGGATGGATGAGTTGGCAGGGGTAGGGGGTATTGGGCCTATAAATGAGAGAATGGGGCAGGTGGATTGGGGGCCTACACACTGACTGACTATGGGCCCCAGGTTCCTGGGGCACATCCCATACTTTGGGTAACATTTCTTGCACCAGCATATAGAACTGAGTTTACTCCTTGGGATACTTCTAAACTGAGTATCTCATTAAGAGTATTTCATCTGAAATGGGCATATGCAGGTTTGATTTCAGGACTGCTATATAAGCTAGTAAAAATGTACTAGTTGTTAATTATTGAAATATCTATTAGTTGGTAAATCACTGCATGAGACCTGCTGAATACACCACCCCAAGTGTACCCTGGCCTGCACTTCTAGGACCTCCTCCCTGGCCTCCTCGAAATCCAGGAACTAAAGACTTAATGGCCAGCACTTTGGGGACCTCCAGGCCTGATTTGGTACTACAGCTGGCCGTCAAACCTCACAGGCGGACAAGAATTCTGAATGTAGGCCCTGGGTATATGAGCAATTGTCAGGAGCCTGAGCCTCAGTGCAGTTCTCCTGGTGCCTGCCCAGATGTGGACCCTCTGGGCAGCCAGAGCTCCTAGCTCCCTTGGCCATGGCTTGGGTTTATATAGAGGAGGTCAGACAACAGAGACTTGCCCGGGCAGTGTTCCCAGTCATGCCAACAAAAATCACTTTTTTTTTTTTTTTAAATCACTTTTTAAAAGAAGTTCTGAGCCATTGGGAGATCAACGCTTCTTTCTTTCTACACTTGCAAGTCATCTCCTCCACAAACCAGTGCGGAATCCAGCAGCCTTCACTGTGGAGACCAGTGCAGAAACAGAAGATGTAATTCTAGTCCCAGCTCCAGCACTTAATACCTCCATGTCCTTGGGCAAGGGACTTAACCTCCTCAAGCTGCAGTTTTCTCATCTGTAGAGTATTGATGTTTGACTCAATTCCTTCCAGCTGTAACAACAAATAATTTTGAGTCCTTAAATTTATGTTTAATAGCCCATTCACCCACCCTGTCAATGGATATGCCAGTAATGCTTCAAAAAGAAAGATATCATCTGCTAGCAAATAATGTTTTGAACAAAAGTTAAGGTAAGAATGATGCCAACTGTCCAATGCAGTCTGAACAAGGGCACTGACATGCACAGGATGAAGCTGGCTTGACCCCTCCTGTTACCACATCAGTAAACACATGTGAGCTCTCCGGCTGCACTTGGCTGATGGAGCATCACACTAATGGGGCCATGACCATTGATTCAATTCCTACTCACTTAAAGATAATTTTAGCCATCTTTAAAAAGCATGTTGTGGCTTATAAAGGGCCCCTGAAAAGTAGGTTATTTTCCCTATTAATAATAACAGGTCAGTGCAAATCCATTATTATTATTAGGGGAAATAATCTCAACATGTAAACATCAATTACATAAACTTCAAAATTAAGGTGACATTACATTATTAATGGTATGTATTTGGAATGTTTTTCGTTTCTTGACTCATTTTGAGTATTGGTAGCTATAATTTATACATTATAACATTTCTTTAAGATTTTCTTTGGTTTCTCAAATTGTAAATTTTTTTATATCTTCAGGGTAGAGGAGGGGAAGGAAAGGTTCCACCTCTTATTTTAGAATAAATATCATTATTTCTCAAATTTCTTATAACTTGGGAGCTAGTATACATAAATGCATTTTGTAGATTTTTGTTATCAAGCTCTTCACTACATGGAAGTTATACTTCTTGATGTTACACTATAGGCATCAATGAAGATGACTGAGATTAAAATACAGTGATACTGTTGTTTGCTATTGGGAGGATTGTTGTTTTAGACTTGTTAAGGACAAAAGAATCAGTGATTTTCAGAGAAGTTTGAGTTCTCGCCTGGCCTGTATGTCTACATGATTCAATGACACAGTCTTGATAGACAAAACAGTTGTGATGGCTTTGGGGGTCACTCTTGCTGGTTTTTAAGAAAGTGAATTCTGAATGTGGATTCTCTTCTCATTCCCCTCTTTCATTTTGGCTTCCCTTCTTGTCCCATAAACAAAAATCCTACTGGACTCAAGCTCCCAGCTCAGTTTTAGGAATTGTGGCCATTTTTTTTTTTTTCACAAGCAACACTGCAGACACTTTAATCAAATAATTTAAGCTGTGGAATTTAATACTCTTGATTTTGGAAATTGAGGATTTGTCCCTATTAAACATCCTATTTAAGCACCAACAAAATGATAAATGGTATTTCCAGATGATGTACTACATTCAAGTTCTACAAATAATTACCAAAGAGCAACATGAATAAATTACTATTCCTTTAGCAATTTAACCTCTATCAGGGTCTCATGAGAGTTTGTTAATTGTTGTTGTGATAACATTTTAGGTTTGGTCCAAACTTTCTTATGATGCCAAAGTTACTGACTCACGCCCTATTGTTCCTTACATGTGTAAAGGAGCTTGCAAGATGTGCTGGTAAAATTGAAGACTAATCCATTAAGGCTTAGCAATGAGGAAAGAATCTGCACCTTGGGAGGGACAGCGAGTATCACGGCCAACACTTGTTCTCGGAGTTCCTTTTTCCCTTGAGGGTTTCTTGCTTATGGTGCTGTTGTCTCCACACTAATCTCTGCAGAACACTCCTCCAATAATGTTTAGCCCAAAGGTAAACTCAACTGTCTCCTTAATTTTCCAAAACACACAGCATGGCTGTGACCAAACTGGAACTTTTTTTTTTTTTGAGGCAGGGTCTTGCTCTGTTGCCCAGGCTGGAGTACAGTGGCACAATTATAACTCACTACAGCTTTGAACTCCTAGGCGCAAGTAATCCTCCCACCTCAGCCTCCCGAGTGGCTGGGACTACAGGCATGTGCCACCGCATTCAGCTAATTTTTTGTGGAGAAGGGTTCTCACTCAGTTGGCCAGGCTGGCCTTGAACTTCTGGCCTCAAGCAATCCCCCCAACTTGGCCTCCCAAAGCCTGGGATTCCAGCCATGAGCCACTGTGCCTTGCAAACTGGAACTTTTAAGCAAAATTTTTAGGCACCAAAAAATTTGGGATAACAAAAGAAAACTATATACTAAGGGGAACATAAAAACAGACTATCTGGTTTGCAAGACTCAGCTCTTAACCGTGTTTCTGCCTCCACTGGAGGAAATCGTCAACCTCTACCACTTGGAAGTGGCCATAGGCCAGGTCCCAGAGAGTGATGAGTCTTCCCTTTCTATCTAAGGCTCTCTTTTTCCATCCAGGGACCCCTTTTCCCTGGATAAGAGATATGGGGAATGTCTACCCCTTCAGCAGACATTCAAGCCCTCCTTGGCAGAGCCTTATTCTATGACCTCTACAAGCTCAGGAGGCACCTGGATTGCTCAGCAGCCCCCAGAGACACACCAGAGGATAAGGGATGTTGATGTTTGGGACACTGTAGCAAAGTCAGGACCAAACCAAAAGTGCTTTCTTATAATGATGCTTCTTACCCTTCTTTGTGTTTATAACACATTTGCAAATATTAGGACTCTTATCAGTACATTTGAAGAAATTAAAAATGAATAAGCCAACAACAATTATAAAACAATCATTTTGGCTGGGTACCAGGGCTCAGGCCTGTAATCCCAGCACTTTGGGAGTCTGAGGCGGGAGGATCACTTGAGGCCAGGAGTTTAAGACCAGCCTGGGCAACATGGCACAACCCCGTCTCTACTAAAAATGCAAAAATTAGCCAGATGTGGTGATGCACACCTGTAGTCCCAGCTACTTGGGAGGCTGAGGCACGAGAATTGATTGACCCTGAGAGGCGGAGGGTGCAGTGAGCCAAGATTGCACCACTGCACTCTAGGCTGGATGATAGAGTGAAACTCTGTCTAAAAAAAAAAAAAAAAAATTTAGATAAAACAATCATTTCTATAATATAAAAGCTTTGCCACTTTTATCAATAAATTTTATCAATTTTATCAATACATTGTTCTATTCAACAGTAGCAAAGCTTATCACTTTGCTTATCACTTTGCTACTTTTGAATAAAACAATGTGTTGATCTGACTTATTTTCTCCAGACCTCTAAAGGCAACATTCCTC